TTACGAACTGAAGAAAATATAATTTAAAGAGAGAAAAAAAATGCGCTGCTTTCCAAGGAAACGTTTATGAAGATTTACGATTTAAAAAAAAATGAACCTATAGGCACTTGAGAGATGAGAGGAACATAGCGGTTTCTGTCGTAAATTAAAAATCAAGTTTTATTTCTAGAAAATCGAATTTAGCTCACAATCAGTGTAAAACGTTAAGTCATTAACAGTTTCGAGAAAGATTTACCTGACGTTCTTGGCTAACATTCTGTTGCAACAATTAATGAAGCGAAGTGAGGAATCACTGTCATGTCAAAAAATAACGGAATAGTCAAGATTTGTATATTTTTCAAATCTAGAATGAAAAAGTTATGTTATTATTTTGTGCAATAATTTTTAAGAAGCCAAATTTTTAAAATTAACCAATCACGATTTTTTTGATAATCTATAATTGGTCAATTTTTAAAAAATGCGCCGAAATCTTTCAGTTTGTTTATAGTTGCTTCTAAATTCGTACAAATGAAAATTAAGCGTCTTAAAATTCGTACACGGAAAAAAATGTTCTGGTAATTCTTTAACATCGATTTAGAGATTTTACATGTTCCTAAATCTGTTAATTCTACAGATATTTTCTGTAAGGATTTAACGCATGCGCGAAAACAATGTAGTGATTCGACTAAGGCTGAGTACGATTGAGTGCGAGAGGTTAAGGCGAATTTAGTGTTTTTATTATTATCATAGTGTCGTCAAGAAAGTTTAATTAAAAAGGAAACGTCTTAAGTATATAAACATTATTATAGAAATAAATTATTACAAATTTTTTATTTTAAAATTAACTGTAGTGATTAAGTGAGAAAAGCCGTTTGTTTCAATTTCTCGACATAAGAAAAAGTGGATTTATCATAAGTTTTGAAAACTTGCTCTTCATTTTTTTTGTTAGAAAATTATTGAAGGATGAATTTATTTACATAGAAGTTATACTAATTTATACAATAATGTTCCGCGAATTTAATGTATTCGGAGGAAAATATAACCTATAAGAAATACTCTACCAAATATATATTATCCCCATATAGTATACATAATTTGGTCACTCAACAGGTTTTAAGAACTGTAGCTCAAACTTGTAGAATTAACAGATTTTAATGCCAATGATTCAACATATTTCTCTATTTGGAGAAACATCAGTAGATGGCGCAGGAGTTTCTGTAAATTCTACAGAAAATTTTTTTCCGTGTACAAATAAAAAATTCGGTGAATTAGAATTTCATCAGTCATTTAAAAATTCGAGTCACATAAAAATAGGAGATATTTTATAATAATTGAATTTCCATTTACTCATAGAATTGCAAAAGAAGAAAATTTAATAAAACCGTAACGTCTTGTAATAATATTTACCGGAGAGAAATTTTTAATGAGTTGTATATTGTTTCGGCAATATTCATTTTCAAGATTTATGCTAATCTTTCGTGTCTTAATGGATGCTAAAATATATTCACCCCTTTTTGCACTTGCTCTCTCTCTCTCTCTCTCTCTCTCTCTCTCTCTTACTCTATCTCTGGATTCTCTTGTGAAAATAACATTCTTTTATTTACTCACGTTTCTCTCTATATAGTATAGGAAATAAGAAGAGAGAACAAGACGAAGAAAGATTGAAGAACCCTCGAAAACGCAACCAAGAGAAATAGTATTTAGTATACACGAGAAAACGATTCATATTGATGAGACGAGATCCCTAATTAAAATTAATTACTCCTCCGTTTCTACGTAAATAAGAACTGGATGAACGATTAAAAGGAAAAGGTCTGTGAGCATAATAACAGACAACCCATTCGTATACACTTTGACACTGAATAATATTCTCAAAGTAGTAAAGAGAGAGTTTCATGGAAATAAAGAAAAAAAGAACAATTTCAATTATTTCTCGAAAATCGATATTTAATTTATTTAAATATCTAAGACTTCGTCTGAAAATTTCTTCAATCTTTAAGCATTTCCTGGAGAAAAGGAAATACGCATTTCCCTCTCAAGTTTCGATAATGTATATAAATAAAAATTGCATACACTGTTGTCATTGTTGAGAAATATCGAAAAACTACATATACAAAGAAAATAAAAATAAATTACATGATATAAATTTAAATGAAATATTTAGAAACGATCAATTTCATAAAAATAGATAATAATAAAATAAAATCCTAAAATATGAGAAAAGATTTGATACAGAAATTCGTATATATAAAATGGTAAATAAAAAAGAAAAAGTAATAAAAATCTCCCATTTTTTGTGACGAGAGAGGCGGACTTGCATTTAAATAGCCCTAAGGGGGAACTCATTTTATGGAATATTTTAGAGATGAAGATCGGGAAAAATGTCTGGTGCATTTTCGTTTATTTTCTACCGGCAAGTAACTAAGATAATAATTTAGAGAACAGGTTGTTTCTACGCTCACCACCTGCTTCTCCATCAGCGACGGAACTATACTGTATATATAGGTATACCCATAGGGATGTTCTAACTCCTAACGCACCAAAGCAAGCACCTCCAAATTAATTAAATTCCTCCCTCCAAACTAACACACAAGTATCATCGTCGTCCTTATGGCTATACGGTGTCACAGGTGCAATAGTCACTAACCCCAGCAGCAGCAGGTATCATTAACCTTTCTTCTCCTGATGAGACTCTCTCTATATCTATATCTATAGATATATAATCTCCCTTATCTTTTTGTCATTTGTCCTAGACGATGATAAATTTCTCTTTTCAACAATAACAAATTCTAACAATTATTTAAAAATATATAGGGTTATTATTATTATATTATTTAGATAATAATGTAAAATATGTTCAATGTATGTTCTTGAAATGAAATTTTCTTTCAATTTTGAAGTTATGATTAATTTTAATTTTTTTATGTACCTGAATTTCTGAGCGTTCAAATGAAGGAAAAATATCACTACTTTTTTAACTTCAAAATTTTATTATAAAATATTTGCTTTCTGCATCCAAATATACATAATTTATTAAATTAATGTACTTCATTATTTATCATTGCTGTAGTAATTTTTTTAAACCGTCGAAAAAAAAATGATTTCATTCATTTGAAAATTCAGAACTTCAGGCACATAAATATTATTTTAATTGAAAATTTTCTACGTATTTTTGTATCAAAAATATTTCTTTCAATGTTTTTTGATTACAAAATTATGAATTTTTTTTTTTTAATATACACTGTAAAAAGAAAGTACTAACATTGTACCGATTTTAGGTATAAAAATAGAACACACTAAAAAATAATACTTACTTTCAGTTCACTTTTGACTAAAACCGTTAACATTAGAACCATTTTTACTGAATTTCAGCCTTGAGTGTATAATTTTAAGTCCTAAAATTGACTTAATCTAGTTTTAAGATTAAAATTACACTAGTTTTAAGGCATTTTGATTTTAAGATGTTAATGGTTTCAGTATTTGTTTTTTGTGTGAACCAAATGACAATTTTGTATCTAAAGTCAGTATTAAATTAAAACCTTTCGTTTTACAGTGTAAATAGAAGTATTCCTAAAAATAATAATTTTTTTTTGCATATCTAAATATATTTTGAAAATTTACTTTTCCAATGTAGAAACTATATTGGTTTTATTCAGATGAATATTCAGAATATTAAGAATGCAAAAATTAAAATACGTATTTATATATTCTTAAATGTTTTATAAATATTATTCGATTCAATAAAATTTCTATAAATATAAATTTTCTACTGAATCAGTTTTTTTTAGGGCAAAAAGGGAAACTTTAAAGATAAAATTATAATTTCTCTATTAATTACTATACTACTATTAATTGACCTAATTGGTCAATAATAAATAAATAACATTCTCCAAAAAAGATATTCCATTTCCTTAATTACCAACAATTACTTTAATTACAGGACAAATAAAAATACAATTTAGATAGTTCAAAATTGCGTGAAACACGCAAATTCTAATATTTTTTAGCTACATTACAAATCATTAAATTAAATTAATGTAGAGCTCTAATATTTATTTTATTTCTAATATTAATTATTAAGTACCAATATTTTGTTTCTAAACATTGGAAAAGCTCATAATTAAAAATAAATCAAAACAAACTCGCAAACTTTAGAAATAGATTCAAATAAATTTCAATAAATCATTCCAATAGAAATATAAACTTTATCCACTTTTCATCGAAAATTTTCGATTCATTATTTTCACCAAGAAGATTATTCATTAAAAAAATATTTTTTGAAAAAATATCGTCAATTTTTATACTTAAAAAATCTAAAGCAAAAACAGATGGATTCCGAGAGAAAAATAATAAAAAAAAAAGATATATTCGGTGAACGCGAAATGTATATTTTAAGAGAGTGAGAAAGAAAGAGAGAGAGAAAGCGCGTCTAGATTTGAATGCCAAGGTTCGAGTGTGCCGCCGCCGGTTGCGAAAATTCAAATCTCTAACCGTTTACAAACAATCAACCGATATATTTTCAAACTACAATTTTCGAACACAAAAAAAAATATCTTTTCTCATTAATGTCACTAACTTGAATAGAGAATAATTTTCCACATCGATGCTAATCCCTTGACTTTTTCCCCCCCATACAAACATAATCCGCTATTCAAAATACACATTTTACCTGCGTTCGAAACCGGTCTTTGCCGAAATTCCCTTTTTTAATGTTCCTATCAATAAAAGATTAAATCTCACCATGAAATATTCTTCGAAATCCCTATAATTGAATAAATAAATAATCAACATTCTAGAAAAAAAGAGTTTTCAACTTGTTTCCATTGACTTTGAAAACTTGGAAATATTTAAAGCATTCTGCAACCACCTGCTGGAGCGTCGAGACTATAGAGAGTGAGTGAGAGAGAGAGGAAAACCGGAGAGATAAATTTTCCGTTCTACACGGATAAGGATAAGAGGCATGAAAATCGAACATTCAATGACGCATGTTAAGATTGTATAAAGTTTTTTTTTTCACTCACCTGTTAGGTGTAACAGCACAAGAATCACAGCAGCAGCCGGATACCAAAAGACTGCCATGATGTGTGAGGAAAAACACAATTTTTTTTAAACGTTTTTAGTCCTTTTTGGATTTTTTTTTTCAAATTTCAATAAAATGTCACTTTGAAAAACACTACACGCACGAAGGAAAATTTTATCTAAACGAGGTTATTTAAAAACTAGGTGTGACAAGACATTTGTTCTTTAACTTCACTACTACGCTTGCATATACGTCGTAACGTCACGCTGGCCGATTTTCAACTGTGGCGGGGAGAATGCCATTCCCGCTCGGATCAAACTTCGTACGTGTTCGTACAAGTTCGTACTGGTTCGGTTCGCTCGGTTCTCCACAGAAATGAAGGTACACATATACTCTTCTCTTCTTCAAAACACTAAAGTGGTGAACCGCACCCGCACGTTTTTATTATTTTTTTTTCTTTCTCTTTCCTTCTCTCTCTCTCTTGACGAATTTAACATTTAAGAGAGGTTACTTTTATTATGTATACTAAAGTCCTGACACTTCTTTAAACCTTGAGTGTTAATTGGAGGATCTGCCAGAAAAATAGCCTCAGGAAAAGTGTCTTAAAGGATGAAAGGATTATGCATAGGGAAAAATGGTAGCAGTTCATTTTAAAATATCCGTTATGGGTTTTATAATTTGAATATTGTTCCAATTATAGGAGTTTTGAATAGAAATTTTCATTTTAAACCTTTATGTGACGCTTCACGAGAAAAAGGACCTTATTGTAAAGAAATTTTTAGGTTATGTTTAGTGACACTCTTTTTGTGTATTTTCGCTTCAAAAATTAAACATAACCTAAATTTTTTTTTAAACCATAAGGTCCCTTTTCTCGTGTAGTGTCTCTGCTTCTCAAATACTTAACACATAAAACATATACTAAATTCAAAATTAAATGCTATTGAAATCATATTAACATTCATGTTGAGCGGTATTCAATAAATTTTCAATATTGAGACAATAAACATTAATATGTTTCGCATATTTACACCAATGAAGGCAACGATATATCCAATACCTATACTCTATTCATATATCCACTAAATACAGACTGCATTGAAATTAATTCAAAAACAATACTTAATTATTTCCTCAACAAATGGAAATTTAATAAGTATTGTTTAACTCATGCTCATGTGAATTTTCGACAAATTAATATCAAATGAATATTAATTTACCATAAATTATTCTAAATGCAATAAAAAAAAAAATTTATATTATATATGAGGCAAAATTCCTGAAATGTCCGAACAAAAAATTAAAAGTTCTCGAATTTAATCCATACTTTTCTAAAATGTTGTTATTGTTGGTGAAAGTCTAAAAATCAATTATTATTGAATTTAATAAAATAGTTTTTGAATTACAACGTTTTTAATTTTTGACTTTTGAAAAAAAAAATTTTTTTCAATGTACAATATTTATAAGTAGAATGCATAAAAGTTAACATATATATAATGATTTTTGAAGCTTTTTTGACGAGCTACACGCTGTTAATAAAAATTTTTTTTTTTAAATAACATTTGACCTTGAAATTCAAGGTCAAAATGTTAATTTACGTTTATCTCAAAATCGGATTTTTTAAAATTATTTTTAACTATCTCAATGGAAAGCTTGACTAATTTCCTACAAAACATGTAATTTTCAGAGTGGGATCTTTTAAAGTTTTTGAGTTATTAATTAATTAATTAATTAATGTTTATAACAAATGAAATATTTTACAAACGAATAAAGTTACCGTAATTCTGAAGTTAGTAATTGAAAGTTAACGTAATTCCGCATCCAACGAGCCCTATATGAAGTATTTTGGATAAGTAGATTGTTAATAAACAATTAGTTAACATTGCAATTGTTTATTAACAATCTACTTATCGAAAATACTTCATATAGGGCTCGTTGGATGCGGAATTACCTTAACTTTCAATTGGTAAGTTCAGCATTACCATAACTTTATTTGTTTGTAAAATATTTAATTTTTTACTAACAACAAGCATCCAAAAGCCCTATATGAAGTATTTTTGTTCAATTTTAGTTAAATAACAATAAAAAATGAAATATCTTACAAACAAATAAAGTTATTGTAAATCTAAACTAACCAATTGAAAGTTAAGCTAATTCCGCATCCAACGAGCCCTATATGAAGTATTTTCGATAAGTAGATTGTTAATAAACAATTGCAATGTTAACTAATTGTTTATTAACAATCTACTTATCCAAAATACTTCATATAGGGCTCGTTGGATGCGGAATTACGTTAACTTTCAATTACTAACTTCAGAATTACGGTAACTTTATTCGTTTGTAAAATATTTCATTTGTTATAAACATTAATTAATTAATTAATTAATAACTCAAAAACTTTAAAAGATCCCACTCTGAAAATTACATGTTTTGTAGGAAATTAGTCAAGCTTTCCATTGAGATAGTTAAAAATAATTTTAAAAAATCCGATTTTGAGATAAACGTAAATTAACATTTTGACCTTGAATTTCAAGGTCAAATGTTATTTAAAAAAAAAAATTTTTATTAACAGCGTGTAGCTCGTCAAAAAAGCTTCAAAAATCATTATATATATGTTAACTTTTATGCATTCTACTTATAAATATTGTATATTGAAAAAAATTTTTTTTTTCAAAAGTCAAAAATTAAAAACGTTGTAATTCAAAAACTATTTTATTAAATTCAATAATAATTGATTTTTAGACTTTCACCAACAATAACAACATTTTAGAAAAGTATGGATTAAATTCGAGAACTTTTAATTTTTTGTTCGGACATTTCAGGAATTTTGCCTCATATATATATTGGATTTTTTTCATAGAGAACAATATCATGTTTCAAGTTTTTTTTTTTTGCGTGAATACATAAAATGCACTGTAAACGTGCAGTTTACTTATTAACCACTTTATCCCATCCCCTGAACTTCATATAGTTCTTATTTATGGGGTGACGTAATTATCTCTTGTCACGCAATTTGTATTGCTCACATCGTCATGTTTGTAAAAATTATTTTTCAATTCAAAATTATTGATCTACAAATATACTCGTGAGAATGTAATTGTATAACGATCGTTAATTTTTCCGCAAATTAAACTCAAACATTTTTTTTTTTATAAAATGAAATCACATATTTTTTTAGCGAAAAATTATATTCTGAAATTGAGAATGTAAATACTTGGCATCTATATTTGAGAATTTTTTTTTTTATTATTTCTATTTATTTATTAAATATATAAAAAAATTAAATTTAATAACCAGATTGTTAATATATATTAACAAAACTGGTTTGTCGTGTAAATTAACCCTTTGAGGATCAAATTATTTCTTAAAAAAATCATAATTTTTGATTTTTAAACAAGTTTTTCAGCGAAACTTATTAAGGTTTTTTGTCTCAAAACCAGAGTTTAGAATTTGAAAATTAAACTAAATGAAAAACATTGGTCTAATATTTAGTTTTAAAAATTAAGGCACTTATGCTTAAGATAACAAAAAAATTTTCATATTGCCTGAAAGTAACACTTGTTCTCAAAGAGTTAAAAAAAAGAATCTAATTAAAAGTTAATAAAAATCTCATCATTTTAAATTTACTTTAGAATTTAGAGTATATTCTTATTATAAGAGAATTATTATTATAGTTGTCAAGGATATTCTTAATTTCAGAATTTTTATTTTTTTGCACTCAGAAAAAAATTCGTTTGAAGCAACAAAATTTTGGTTAAATCAACAAAATAAATGCATTGATATACATAGTTAACCAAACATTTGGTTGCATAAACCAAACGTTTATTTAGCTCAATTAAATTTTTTCTTTGTTCCAAAAATTTATTAAAATAAACCAAACAGTTATTTAGATCAAATAAATATTTATTTGAATTAAACAAATTTTGTATGAACTAACCAAAAAATTGGGTAAATATAAAAAAATTCTACATTTGGTTCAAACATATCTTTTTTCTGAGTGTGATAACAGTAATAATAATCAATAATAAAATTAGAACAGTAATCCTACGATTAATTATTATTATTATACTATATTTAACAAAAAAAAATTTTTGAAATATTAGATAAAATTCCTGTAATTAACCGCAGAACATTTATGAAATGTCAAGTATTCAATTCCACAGATTTCTTAATAGATATATCAACAGATAAATCAAGAAGACATAAGGTGAATTGAAATATTCATATCAAAGAAGGGGGCTTGAAAAGTGGTTTATGAGAGAATCCTGATGGTATTTTGAATGACTTGAAATATTTTTCATATATTTTAATTTTTTTTCTCCACTATTTTTTTTTTTTTTTTTTGTTCGTTGGTCGTCATCTTGCAGTGACAGAAACGATTAATAAGTGGATGACAAATGTGCGTCGATTCAAAGGGATATACATATATATATGTATATGGAGAAAATGAAGAGATGCCGCGACGACTCTTTGACTATAAAAGAGAACAAAAGAAAAAGTCAAGAGAAATCCGTGACAAAATAAGAATGATGCTCGAGAAGCTTGTATCTACTTTTTCCCTTGGGAGGGTCGTTATTAAACACTTAAATCTTTTCTCGTTGCATAAAATGGTTGCGCAGTTGCGAGTTTTTATGAGAAAATAAATAATAAAAAAAAAGACACAAGAGAAAATGAGATGACATTACGCATTTTACTTTCAACTAAATCTATGAGAAATACGAAATCCTGACTTTATTAGATATTTAAATGACCCTTGAAGAAGTTACTCATATAAATCAAGGGTACAATAATGTTGAACTAAATTCAAAAATTATGTGCTCCACCAATTTTTCAAACAAATTTTAAAAAATTATTTTATATTTAAAATAATAGTTAAAATTTTTACTATAATTCAAATTTACACGTATAGAGAAAATTTATATTTGTCTCAGAGTAAAATAAATATTTATTTGTTTCAAATAAATTTTATTTGAGTTAAATTAAAATTTTATTTGCGATAAATACAATTTTATTTTCCCTAAATACAATTTTATTTGTGCTAAATAATTTCTTTTATATAAAATAAATAAAAAGTTATTAGACTTGAGACAAATATAATTTTATTTGCTTCAAATAAATTTTATTTGTCTCAAATAAACGCCAATAAAATATTTCACAGGGTGTAGAGAGTGTGGGGTGCTATTTTAATAGCAAAAGGGATTAAAATAAGATGCAACGCTTTAAATCCATCGAAGATTAAAATAATCCATTCACAGATTAAAGTTGCAAATTTGCAAGTTGCGAATTTTTATTTTTACCAAAAATT